GCACCGAGTTCGACTGTCGAGAGGCGAGGCTGCCGTAGCGCCGAGGCTCGCGGGCGCATGCGATGTGGTAGTGTGAGATTCACTGAAGAAACGAGGTCAAGACAGTCCACAGCGCGCAGGTAGGTGGATTCAACGCTAGGATCGCCGGTGACCGCGGTAACCTTGAGAGGAACAGGGTTTGCGTGTTAAATGATCGCGAAAGGCTTACCTACCTTTTTGCACGTGCTGTCGCCTGATGCTAGCCTTATCTGGCACGGGTCAAGCGACACCAAGCAAGGCTGTGACCCTCAAGAACTAGGATAAGGTCATACAATGGATAGTGTCGAACAGACACTGTCTGCCTCACGAATTAGATGAGTTGATACAAAAGCCGCATGCGTCACAATGACAGCAGAGCAGGATCGCCGACGCGCTCCCGCGCCGCGAGTCGCTTATGAGAGCGGAGACAGGGTTGATCCGCATGATCTGGCCCCCAAAACTATGACACCTAGTGCAATTTTTCGAATGACATCGATCTATAATCTGAAGGTAATGAACCAAAGGTACAGGGCAGACTGAAAATCTGAGATGACCTGAATCAATAGGTGGGATTGTGTCGACAGTTGTTGCGATGTTGTAAGTTGAGATGTCAGGATGGTAGGGTATTAGGACGGGTGGGTGTGTATACAATGGATGCCAAAGATTCCAAGACAGCCTGGTCCTTCTCCATGATCACCATGAAGGACAGCAAAAGGGTTTCGCTGCTATGACTGGTTCGCCCAGTTTCCTGATCATCCCAGCACGACCAAGCCGACCGCTAGATGTTATTCTTCATGGGCAACTTTTGACTTGGTGGTCTTCTCTGCTCAGTACAGATCGTCAAGCCTGTCTTCCATCGGTGGTGCATGATCCGCAAATATCCTCTTTGTGCTCGATAATCGCTGTACGGTACTTTTTGTCATCATCCGCAGCGAGTTCCTTATCTCTTCTTATTCTTGAACGATCGGCAGCAGTGAAAGAAGCGAGATTTCCAAATTGTTTCCCGATCAATACGTTCTACGACTGCGTCGCTTTGTGGCCACTATGATCGTACTAGCCTAAGAGGAATGTCTCCCTCACACCGTTTTCCATCCAGCATGTAGCGTCGCGATATCTATGGAGATCAGTGTCATAGGGAAATGTAAGATACACGGGCCTGCCTTGCTTATCACGGGCGAACACGCTGCCTCGTTTATGGTTCTGCATAGAGAAACGTCCAATACCCCCATAGTGACTACCATGATTCTGCAGGATGAACAACAACGATCTTTCTTCCAAGATACGTTTGCCTTCTTGCGTGCCTCTCTCAAGACGTGAGTTATCCGGGCATCGCAGGATAACGACACATGGTAATCGAATTCTAGCCTTCTTAAGACTCCTTTTGCTCTTATAGTCGACGTCCCATGATGGACGCACGAATAGGTCAATTTTTTTACTATACGGAACCTTGACATATAAGCCGGCTGTGTTTGTGGGGCCGTCATCCAGGTGCTCCAGATCTAGCCTCAGCACGGTGGTCGTCAGTTTGAGGAGTTTCGAATCCTCTAGTGGATCATTTGAACGTTCGGCTAGCCTGCCAAAGGCTTTGCAAGGTGGTTTGAAATCTCCGTCGTACCAGAGCTCGACCGAGCAGGTTGATGAAACCGTTGGGACAAAAGTGCAATGATTGACAGTACCACGCCAACCGAGGGGTGACCAGCTTGGGAAGCCTTTGCGTCGTGAACATGGCAGTAGGTGCTCCCAATCTAAAGCCATACCTATCTCAAGTGCATTATAGCTTCGTATATTCTCTCCCTGTGCAAGACTCACACCCCAGATATGATCAGTCCTCTCTAGGGTTCCAAGGGCACCAAGAATAGCGTTGAGCGCGTCTGAGTCATAGGTGAGTTGGCGTCGCGTATATTCACGCATGATTGCTCCCACTCGGTTCTGTGTTTCGGCAGAATTCGGCAGAGACGCAGCAAGTTGATCTGTGAGCGCTCCTATCATGTTCACTCCAGGATCTTCATCGCAGATGCATACGTCCGCATTCTCTAGAAAGTACATCCGCCTTCGGGAGAGATAACCTTCCTGGAAGGTCCACGCTCTTGAAAACCACGTTGATTCTGCGATAAGTGCGCGTGGGCCCTTATTAGTACGCCATGGTTGTATGACTAGCCGTGAACGGTCGGTCACAGCATGCATTATAAGCTCCCGACGCTGGCGGCAACGTGTAACTCCTGGCAGACCAGCATTGGCGTCTGAACCGAATGCTGCGACCAGAGTTATTTGGGCTGAAGAGTAGATGAGTCCCATCTGGTTGATTTGCTGTTGTTGAATGTTGTGGTCTCCCTGATTGATACACTGTTAAGTTAGCCACCTTCTCAAAGCAATATCATGTAGAACTCACATATCGGTCGACCCATAGATACTGAAAACCCAGCAAGGTAGTAGCTTCTATACTGTCCTCCACCGTGCGAGGAAGCAGACTTGGTAGGTTGGGAAACTGCGTACAGTCTTCCAACATCGACGAGCCCCAAACATAGGAGAGTGCAACGAATTTACACTTCTCCGGAGCCGATATGATCCTCCTTTGATGGCAGTCAATCACTTTCAAATTATCTATATCTGACTTTGGTGGAATATTGCATTTCTCGTGCGTTCCACAATCTGCCATCCAAAGCTTTGCGAGCTCGAAATCGACGCGATTGGGAGCGTCAGCCTGTAAGTCAAGTAGATATGGATCATCTCTATCGCAAAGCTTCAAAGGCGACGGGAAAGCGTGAAGCATATGGCTGTTATCTTTCAGAGAGAACAGCCCGCGTGAGTATACTAGATGCAGATTAGATCTCGTCGAATCTGGTGTCGTCTCCAATTTAATCGACCGGCTTTGATTCACGGCACTTGCAAACTCCAGTTTGGTGAGTCGGCGATGATCGACAGCAACCCCAAGCACGCGACAAGTGGGACAGGACGACCGCTTCAACTCTTGGACGCTTTCCGTGATAGCACAGACGAAGACCCTTTCAGTGACTTCTGGCCGTAATTTCTCCCAGCTGATTGCAGAACAGCGATAACATATACGTCCATCTGTTCCATTCATGCTTCGGTTGCAGGTCCTAGCCCAGTGAGCCGAAGATCGTTGTTATGTTGAGATTCGAGCGCGGCTTGTTCAATGCCTTTAACAACTACCCCTCAGCACTCTGGGTGTTGACCGATGAGATCGCAATATTGAGTGGAGTATCAAGGACCGTAGTTCGTAGCACTTATGACGATGTCCTGGAACAGAGAGGATGGGGAGATTGGAAGATGAGAGGCGGTCCATGAAAGAAGCACAGGCTTCTAGCTAGACCACAATTGAAGCTGCAGTCGCTAGCTCGGTATGGCACATTGGGTAGCGTCGATAACTGGGAAGTGTGTAGGTCGAAGCATGATGGCAGGACTTATGCCCCGCCTCTATTACACATGCTGACGCCTGACGCTAGCTTGAAATGGCACGGGCTAGTCGACACTGATCAGAGCTGTCTCTGGAAAACAATAGTAGCTTCCCTCCTCACTTATGATAAAGGACTACATGCCGTCGAATAATGATGACTGAAATGCATGGACTGAGCCATATCAAGGGCATGTCGGACGAAGGCTGCATGCGGCATGGATTGAATGGGTCGATGCAAAAGCTACATGGTCCATAACGACAGCAAAACAAGATTGCGAGCGCAGTCCCACACGGCGAGTCGCTTACCATACTGGACCTGTCTCTGGCAAGCTTACGTGCATCATTCCGAATGCGTTATCACCTAGCAACTACAGTTGTACTTCGCATCCCGATCTGCTTGAACGTCGACCGCAGTCGCGTTTTGCTACGTGCGATCTTGTCGCTCGATCACATTGTTCCAATCAACCAGCTGCCACATGCTAAGTGTTTCATCGGGAAACGATGGAGTGACAGCTTCGCGAATCGTGGAGGTGTGCGCGCCAGTAATAGGACATTCCTATGCGGCTGTTGGGAGGGTAGCTTTTCTAAAGCCCGGCCTGAGGTGGTCGATCGGTTTGTTATTCGCTTGTTCGTGAGTCTCCGTACGGTGGGCGGATCCGTGAAAGCGCTCTTCGGCATCGTGAGCTTCAATCAACAAAACCTAGGGACGTGAGGTGGTGTAGCCCTTCGTCGCAGGCCGGCCTCGATCGTTGACTAAAAGACATAGGGGAAACGAAGGACTGCTAACGTCTAGCAGCTTCCTGGTCACAACTGCATAACCAGCGAGTATGTATACGAACGACAGAACTGGTGTCGCTGACTCCTGATAGTGTGCTCGGCGGTGTCGGAGAGTGGTGGACTGGCGGTCGAAGCCCCACAGCAAACCGACCCAGCATCTGTACACGTGATGACTCCCGACGCTAGCTTGGAATGGCACACGTTCCGCTCCGCCAACCATTTCTTTGGGAACGCTTTAGTGCTGAATGCGACGAACCTCTACCCTCGCGTTAATTGATGTTGTTTGGCCACAGATTATCGCCCTTTTCCACGTAGAGCCGTTTTCTGTCCCTCGTTATGTTGGACGCTGTTACAATCATTCAGCACGTCAAAGCACAAATCTCATCACTGTCGCGACACCCGCTAGGCAATGATAATATCTGAAAGCGACATTAGCTGCTCTTTTGGTCAATTCAGCGTTCACCTCGAGCAAACCCCTTCGGATTTGTGGGACGCTCTCAGCTCCACAGATCAGATCATTGGCGCGGGTAGCGGCATCGTTGCTAGCAAACGAGGATGGAGAATCCTCGCTAACTGCTGCCTTGCGCCACGGTTTGCTGCAAGGGGTATCACATAAGGCAACCACCCAAGAGGAAGCGCGCCTAATGTTTCTTCCTCCCGCAGTCAATTGTTTCACGAACAATCTTGTGCACGCTGCCATCTTTTCGGGAGTTTGTCGACGCTGCGCTCGTCGACCGACACTCACCTTCTTGCTGAAGGCGTTCTTCGGAACCTGCTCGACGAACTGAACATGACGTAGTACCTCGACGTCACACTTGCGCCCACATCTCAACATGCTAGCGAGCTCGCGCCGCTTCCCGCGTAGTTCCAGTCATTCTACGAACGGGCGCACGATCGGGTGTTCAGCTAAAACTCCCTGGAACCCTCACAAATGGCTCCATTTACTATGCGCTTTGGTTGGCATAGCCATCTGTATTAATATTTTCGTCCTGTTCAACTGGACTTATGTCGAAACCTTACCAAGCGATATCCTGGGGAAACAAGCTTTCCACCCCAAGCCTTTCGTGTCGACAGCGCATGGCTCTGAGTCGCAAACCGACAGTGAACCTGACTTCTGGACATGGGACACGAAGACCCAGTTCAAGACTAGAGAAAGTGTTGGCCAGCAGAGCGGCGTCGCAGACGAATGCGCTCTCTTTCCAGTGCACCTTCTCTCGAAGATTCAGGTCGTCCTAAAAACTGGAGCAGCAGACGATGTGTCGCGGACTGATGCGCAGCTTTCGACGGTCATAAAATGCATCTCCAACATCTTGATCGTTTCAGACGGGAACCACACCTACGGTCGTGACCACCAAGCTATCGACACTCTCGCGAATCTGCCGCCGAACACGTACTTGAAGCCTGAGGATTACGTCGTCTACGAGGCGCAAAAAAATGCAAGCCAGGAGGGCAGGAAGCTGCAGCAGGGTCATAAAGGCTGGGTGATCGACAAGTACAAGTTCTTGCCGGAAGTGGAGAAGGCGATTGAGCGCAACAATGCGGCCGAGTGGTACGTGTTTCTTGAAAGCGATACGTACATGTTCTGGGACAACGTCTTCCGTCTTTTAGAGAACTACAATAGCTCAGTGCCTTACTACTTCGGATCGCCATCGCCTGGCAGAAAGTACCAATCTGGACCAGATCCTGAGAACGAAGGGCAGGTGTGGTTTGCATACGGAGGCGCAGGCTTCATACTCTCCACGGCCGCTGCGCACCGACTGGTGGATCGTCCAAGCAACAGCATCGGCCTCAAGGGTCCTCGGCTCGCTATCGAATACATGGAAGACATCAGAGCCGACTGCTGTGGCGACAGTATACTGGGATGGGCTCTGCACGACAAAGCTGGAATAAGTATCGGTGGACTATGGCCCATGTTCAGCCCTCATCGGCTCGAAAACATCCCGTTTGGCAAAGACTACTGGTGCGAACCTGTCATCAGCCTACACAAGACTCACCCGTTCCTCTATAAAGACCTTTGGTCCTGGGAGAACGAACGAAGATCAGCAAGTGAGCACCCCGTGCTCTATCGTGATCTACTTTTCTCGTTTCACGGCAACTTCTCTCAGCGCGAGAACTGGGATGCAGCATTCGACGCAGGCTTTCAGCTGCCTGATAATTCCACTGTCCACACGAGTCTCGATGCTTGCAGAACCGGGTGTTTTCAACACAACGATTGTATGCAGTACACTTGGCATGGACGGCACTGCTATTACGCGAAGGCTTTGTATATTGGTAATGCGAAACAGCCAGATGGCCATCACGACCCAGAAGATAGAAAGTATATCAGTGGTTGGGATATCACGAAGATACAAACTCAAAGCTTCGAGAGAACATGCGAAGAGGGAGCGCATTGGGTGAAACCAAGCATCGAAAGAAAGTACTGAACGCCTGAGGTGTCGGGTCCGTGACCTACGATGGGTAGGATGCCGAAAGCATAGCACGTAAACAATCCTAATACTATCATACACTTATATCTCCATCGTGCAAATAGCTCACTCCTGGCCGAGATTCCGTAACATGCAAGTAGCGCGATATCAAAGGCACGCTCGCGTCAGTCATAATGATTCGATCGATGGACATCACGCTCTGTCGACCAAGGCCTGGCCAGCTTTGCGACATTGGTCTACTTGTCGAGATCAACATAACCAATCAAGCAAGACGAATCTCGGCCAAGACGGCGTTCGGGAAGTTCTCGTAGTCTACATCTGCCGACGGTTGCTTGTTGGGAAATTGTTTTATGGCGTTCAATTGCATGTGATTTGTTACATTTCCGTTCATGCCCTATAGCAAGACCACTTGTCCCATCCACCAGAGCACCAAGCATAAACACCGGGACCATACTGCCTCGTGCACGCCGCAGGAGTGTTCACGTCGAGAACAAAGGGATAGTATTGAACGCCACAACGCCAGTCATTGCATGTGTCTCCTACCCGGAGATCTATGGCTCCGGTATTGTACTGATCCCTACAGGCCCGAGGCATGTCGATGCCGCCGAGCCGCTCGCCAGCTGCTACAGCAGCAGCGGAGGGCGCAACGAGGGCTGCTGGAGCAGCGACTCCTGGCACAGCCAGGAGGCTGAAGCCAATGATTGTGGTGAGGATAGTGGTGTGGGCGACCATATCGATGGGTGTCTTGGTGAAGCTAAGTCAGCATAGAGAAGGAGGAAGAGACGTGTTTATGTGTCGTGGACTACTCTAAGTAGGGGGCATTGTATCTATTACACACCTGGACACTTGATGGGAGATAGTGAGAGCGCTAGGTTGTATCAAGGACTTTGGAATGAGAAGTGGAATGCGGCGTGATCGTGAATCAGGTGAAAATAGAGAGGATGGAGAGGATGGAGAGAATAGAGAGAATAGAGAGGATGGAAAAGAGCTGTCTAAAGTGAAAAGAAGCTCTTTCTATAGCGACTCGCTGGTACTTGAACACGTGCCGTTACGGAAGTCTTCTACGTATCGCTCCATCGTTAGCCACGTCAAAGCCTTCGAACAGGTCATCTTGCTTGTAGGCTAGGCCTTTGCGGGGTATGAAGGAGCTGGTATGCATTGATTCGATAACACTAGGCCTCTCCTCGTGACAGGAATTGCCTTAATACATATCAGCTTCTTCATGTGTGTAAAGTGGCTCATGCCACAATGCGGCGCAGCTTAGTGGGGTCAATTCTTGGACAGGTGGCCGCAACAATTGATTGGCCGTCATGAGACCGTTGCTGTACAGAAGGATGAGTAGACCAGAGAGCGAGGTCAATCTCGGTCGAACGCCATTTTGTCGACGACTCGCAGTGAAAGCGGGACGACGATTCATAGACTACTTAACACAGTTAAAGCAGATATTGATGTAGAAGGTGAAAGTAACAGAATAGATAGCAATCCTATTCTCGACATGGTCTAGATACAGTGGAATGGTGTCTCTGTATCTTGAAGCAGACATTGTCAAGCGGTTCATAGAGATGGGTACGGGTAGTCCCCACTATCACGTGCGGTTTTGTGGGGCTATGGTGACGCAGTTGACCAATCGATAACTCCGCCCGCATCCGAGACATAGTTAACCATGCAAAGGCTGACACGCAAGGTCCATGAACACATAAGTATCATGACAGTCTTTACCTCATTCCTCGACTCCGATATCCTTCAACCAACTTTGCCTTGTCCAGAAGATCTCCCAAGCTTTCTGCCATCGCTCCTCCTTCAGACCCCGAAGCCATTCCTTAAACGCGATCTCCTCTTCGCCGACTCTGATCACACCATTCTTGATACCCTTCCAGTCCTTCATAGGGCCTTTGATGTAGTGATGGTTCGCGCCACAGAAGCTTAGCCACGGTTCTTCGATCTCTCCTTTTGTTTGCTTCATGCGCTTGAAATAGCAACCTTCGCATATGTCTGTGTTGGGACACAGCATGCAGTAATAGAGCGGTTGAGTCCACGACGACAATGTCTCCATGCCGCATTCCCCATCACAGCCTATAGCCCCTTGTCTAAGGTCTTCGTCAAGCTTGGCAGGCTCCTCTATCGTCGGCTCTGGTCGATCCGCAACTCCCAAGTGGTCAAGCACTTCCCCTATTTTACGATCGGAATACTCTGCCTCATCAACTCCAGACAACTTATCTCTCTGGTTGTTTTCTGACGTCTCGTCGCTTGCTGTAGGGTTTTCTTCTTCCCCTGCAGTCGCTTGATCGCAATCTGCCTCAGCAACGCCCGTGTTGACCAAACCCTCCGAACTTTCAGATGCTATATCGTCTGCATTGTCCTCATGTATTGCGCGATCCAAGATGGAGAATTGAGCACTGATAGCAATCATCGCATCTCGTTGGAGACTATCCAATGATGCTAATACCTTGGCTAGTAGTCGCAGACTTGGCGAGTCGTTCCAGGAAACACTGTCTTCAAGGCCATCGATGCAATTCTTGAAGAGCTCATCCATGTGTTTCTGATAGTCTTTGGCAGGGCCTATAACTCGGAGCATGTTTGCATAGAGCATACCGACATGGGATTCCCGCTCGTCGTAATTGTCGCCATGAGCACTCGGCAGTGCTCTCAGGGTCTCCATGATGGTTTCCTTTCGAAGTGGATCGGGGGTCATCTGAAATTCATAGAAAAGGATGTTTGCGAGCTGCAACTGGTGTTGGGTCTTTGTCTCGTTCATGGTTTCTTCGAATTCAGGATCCGGTTTCGTTTTCATAGCCAGAATTTCCTGCCGCAGCGATTTGCCCCTGTCGATATCCCCGAGGACTGGATAATAGATGTATGCAATTGCCCCCCGGAGATTGAATAGATGAAGGCTCTGCGGCGGAAGGTCCCTGGCAGAAGCAGTCAGCCATTCGAGTAGCAGGTTAGTCTGTCCAGTCAGCTTCGCTGCTCTTTGCACACTAATCACAGAATCATCCTGCACCTCATCTTCGAAACAATAGGCAAACCAAGTGTTCCGCTCCTTATCAGTCCAACTCTTAAGGACCTCCATCAGCTTCGATGCATTTTCTTCATCCTCGAACGACGCTATGTCGTCTAGCATATAGCCATCGAACGGTTCTTTGCTCTGGAGGGCCTGGACTCTTCTTGCTTCGTTGAATATCTGTAAGGCCTCCTCCGCTCGCCCCAGATTAACAAGAGCAGAAACTTTGTCCGTCAGAATTTCGACTCGTGCCATGTTGAAAGCCGATAGCTGTTGGGTATGAACTCCCTCTACATGTTGCTCAAGCAGCATGAGGTAAGCTCGGTCGAGGCACTCGATTGCCTTCGCTTCCTGGTCGTTGTCCATGTAGACTATTGCTAGAAGGTCAATCGTTGTAACTTGGTCAAAAATGTCACCTCTCATGCACCAGACTTGTCAACAATCAAGCCAGCTTGATCGCTATTAAGCTGGCGCATCAAGCTGGCTAATCAATCAAGCCAAGCTGGAGTAGAGGTACAAATTAATTAAGCCAAGCTGCTGTAAGCTAGCTTGATTGTTTGGCTTGATTGGCTTAATTGGCTAAGGCCTACGCGTGAGGTTGTTGGGTTTGCCGTAGCAGCGATCACACGATACTTTTTTGGTGTTGAGGTCAGCAACTAATATACAAAAAAAATTCCTAACAACGCTGTATATACATATATATATACAAAAAAACCTTACGATAGAGCTATTACTGCCGCGATTCAAATACAGCAAAAAAAAATCTCCTAATACTACAGTGTGTCGCTGACGGCTGCCTGCTTCGGGCGACCGTGGGCGACACACTGTAGCACCAGCAAGTACAAATACAGTAGCTATTATACACCTCTACTATCGCTTGCTAGGCGTAGTAGAGACGATTGTAGGCCTAATATTACTGTATATATCTATAGTGTTGAGGTTGTTGCTACAGGTAAAGGTAGATGTTGTAAATAACGAAAAAACGCGTTGTTTCAACTGCGCAATTGTACAACTACAACACAATATTTACAGTATATTGCGCTGCGTATCTTACAAACAGACAACTACAATTTAATTGCTGCTGTTGAATCTAATTAATTGTTGCGTTGTTGTGGTTGCTTTTAGTAGTTACGATAGAGGGTGCTAAGCAATACATCTCGTGCTACTTAGGTAACTATCTTATATTGTAACCGTACAACTCTGTATACACAACGCCACCCACAACACGTACTTTTCAGCTGTATCACGTACCGCCTACGCGCCGCTGTATTGCCGCTGGCTTTCTGCATTTATTGCTATATCCTTGTCGCAGTTATGCCGCAGAAGAGACGCGCTAAAGACGCTGTTACAGCGTTAACAACAAAGCGTCCTAAACCTACACCTAGCAGCACCTACAGCTAAGCTATACCTATTGAAAGCCCTTAATCGTTACCTTGTCCGTCGCCCCGTAAAGCCCTAGTTGAAGCGTCCTAGGTATTAAGTTTTGAAGCGCAATTGCGCAAGTTGCAAATAGAGGAGTATATTAACCTACCTACTGAGGGCAGCGAGGAGGCAACGATAGCAACTAGCGAGTCTAACAATACAGCTTTAGACGAGGAGTTAGAGGATAACTTCAATAGCATTAATTGGGATTGTCTCCCTTGGTTTATAAAGCCTATAGCGTCGTAGCGTTACAAGAAAAGCTGGGTCTATAACTACAGCTGGCGTGTCGCGCTGCGAAGCAATCCTTAACGCATATATTTTGTATGCCGCTATTGTTATAAGCATAAGCTTATTAACCTCGGCGTTACGAAGGTATACGAGACAACAAACTTAACGTCTTCTGCCTATCGACACCTTGGAGAGAAGAGACGCGGCTATGGCCACCAACTACCTCACGTAACAGCTCGTTCTACAACGATAAGTGTCCTCTAACAAGTACTTACTAGCAATTGGGTTAGCTAGAGTATCGCGAACGAGCTCTCCGGCTTTAACTCCTAGCGCTTTTGGCTTAACGCAGTTAGCTGGCTTATTGAAGCTAACCTCCTACTGTCTACGTTTGAATCGCTAGCTTTTCGACAATTAATATTGTTAGCTAACGTCTAAGTAGAAGCGGCACTGTGGACGTCCTACAATAGCGTCTCTCGTTACGTTATGCGCCTGTACGACTACTTACGGCCGCAAGTTGTTACAGAACTGTCGCGGGCACAGAGCAAGATACACATAAGTTTTAACGGCTGGACAACAAAGGGTGGCAAGCGTGGGTTCTTAGGTATTGTTGCCTACTACGTTGATAAGCAAGGCGATATTGTAGACTTACCTATCGCGCTGCTGCAGTTGACAGGCGCCTACAGTGGACATAGGATGGTAAAGGTTGTTATCTAAACGTTGAAAGAGTTCGGTATAAACGCTTAACGTATTGGCTACTTCGTACTTGACAACGCAAGCAATAACAACACCGCGATAGACGCAATTGCGCTAACAATAGGCTTTAACCTACGCTATCGCCGCCTCTGTTGTAGTCCTTATACAATTAACCTTGTCGGCTAGATGCTCCTCTGGGGAGAAAACAGTGCCTCGTACAACAACGATACCGCTGAGATTACTGCTGAAAGCGAGTATATGAGCGAGTGGAGGCGCGATGGGCCCTTAGGCGTACTCCTAGGTATCGTCAACTACATTAAAACACCACAGCAATACGCTCTTTTTGCTGACTTTCAGCGCCTTGCCCATCGCGAGCTACCAGCTGACGCACCTCCCGATAAACGCAAGATCCTTGAGCCCGTTAAGCCTGTTATTACACGCTGGAACTCCTTCTACTCGTGCTTTGAGCGCGCTGTACAGCTTTAACCGGCGATTAACGCGTACGCCAGCCACTATATAAAGCGTATACGGGACGAGGATACCTACGCTGAGTCGCGGCGCAACAAACTGCCTTACGCGCTACACTGGATGAGATCGGACGGCCTTACAACGCACGATTGGGCGGTAGTTACGGAGTATATGGACGCTTTGAAGCCGCTGAAAGCTGCTACAAAGCGCCTTGAGGGGCGCGGCAACAGCGGGAGGTTTAGCTGTATTGCTGAAGTCATCCTAGTATTCGAGTATATACTTAACTACTACGAATCGCGCGTACTGGCTTACAAGGCCGTTGAGTATAACGCCCACGACGAGGCGCCTGAGGACCACCTTGCGATTAACATGCGCGCAGCGTGGGCGAAAGCCAGCGAGTATTACTCTAAATTAGACCTATCGCCCGCCTACTACGCAGCTACGATACTCTACCCGTATTACCGATTGTATTGCGACAAATCCTAGGGTACTGAGAAACCTAGCTGGCTTAAGTCCAACAACCTTAGTTTCCGCGGCTTGTGGGCTTAATACAATACCAGTCAACTAGCTGTACGACGCCTAAAGGTACTATCGAACGATATAGACGACGCAATCGACAGCATTATTGATCCTACAACTGCTAGCAACAGCGACGAGGCAGCTGACGACGAGTATACCTAGTGGAAGCTGTGCGAGCGGCGGGTGGAGAAGGGCAGCGAGTACGCCAACAACCTAATAAAATACTGGTTATTAATGCGGGATCGCTATCCTTAACTTAGCAAGCTTGCGCTTAACGTACTGTCTATCCCAGCGTCGAGCTGCGAGTGTGAGCGTATGTTCAGCGAGTTGGGTGATCTCCTAGAGCCTCGCCGACGAGGTATACAACCACGACTTCTGGCGGCAATACAGTGCGTACGACGGTGGCGTACAGCTGGTCTAGGCGACGATAAACTCAACAACAGAAACTCTATAACTGACGATAAGATAGAGGCGTTGTACGGCGTAAGCGCGTGGGACGTTAGAGACAGCAGCAATACTAACAGCGATTCGGAAACTCAACTCTAAAAAAAGTCACGATATAGCCAATACCACCTATTTGTATAGCCTCAAAAACGCTTTGACCATCAAGCCAATTAAGCCAAACAATCAAGCTGGCTTGTTTTAACCCACCAAGCCAATTAAGCTAAGCTGAAGTAGAGGCACCCAACAATCAAGCCAAGCTGGGGTACCCAGCTTGCTTGGCTTGATTGTTGACAAGTCTGTCATGCACTCGACCGCACTCTCCAGGTGGGTTATAGCTTCCGTGGCCAATTTTTGTTTACGATCAGGATCGTCTGTCGAGTCGATGTAGTCAGCCAGCGTGAAACCAGTGACTCGCAAAGCCTTGTAGTCCTTAGATGGAACATTATATTGCGTGATGACAGCGTTGATATATTGAAGTGGATCATCTTCATTAGCCTCGAGACGATTCGCCTGTAGATTCTTAGATTCGTCTTTACACCGGATGACAAACTTACACAAGCAAGCGCAGATTTCACGAATCGAAAGATTTCGGGTATCCAAAATTCATCGTCGGCATCCAACCAGTTCTGCACGTGACCTTGAGCTAGCGGCAGCAAAACATTATCCCGGTTGACAGTAACCGCCCAGTCCAAGATTTCGTCATTTATTGACCCGTTTGGCAGCGTTGTTGCCTTTTTCGCCCATGGTGTAAGTGTATCGAACCAAGCGGTAGGTCCATCGGGGGTGGGCTCTGGATATATCTCCGTGTCCGTTGCTAGCTCCTCGAACAGTTTGGCGACATTGTTCTTATTATTGGTGATGCAGTGAAGGATGACCAGCACATCACGGACAACAGCAGAGGAAACAGTATCCACATCTAGCTCTTTGAGATGTTCATACCAATAAGTGATGGCGTAGAGCGTAAGTCCTGACCTCGTCGATGATCGAGGTTCCTGGGCCGCTGTCATCATGATATCTACACACATCTGAAGGATCGTAAGATGTGCAGCGGCAGCAGGCGTTCGAAACTCTGTTGTACCATCGTCTTCGACACTCACACTCTTGAAGTATTGCCGAAGAGAGCGGTCCTGGAAACATAGGGGAGAGTCTTCGTAGTCGATTACAAGCATGCCGTCGTCTTTCGACTCGTCGTTCTCGTCGTCATCATTTTCATCGTCCTTAGCGTCTTCCTCAAGTTGACGTGCTTGGGTAAGCTCAAGAATGCGTGACGAACGTCCAATAATCTCCTCTTCGATATCGAATGTGTCATCAGGTAATGTGAGTCGAATCAGACCGGAAGCCTCAGTCACACTCAATGATCGTTTAGAGAACGCCAGCCACGCAAACAATTTTTTCATTGCCTGGTATTGTTCATTCGACCGGTTTTGGCGACACTCATCTAAAAGAAGTCGGTAAAGTCCATGCAGGTTCGGAGGCAGGTTCTCTAATGCTTGTGAGACTGCTCGTTCTCGACCGATATACGAGAACCTCCTAAGCATATGCTCGACGTAAAGCATACTGTCCGCTTGCTTGACTACTTTGCTAGTGATAGCTTTCTTGACCTTGTGACTGAACTTGCGCACGCGCGGAAGTGTATGTAGGCGATCTTTCACGAGTAGTTTCATGTCGCGTTTGATCTCCTGCTTGGTGATATCGAGAACCAAGGGTCCGAGAGACTGTAGTGTCGGGATCTCTCCCGGTCTGCTCGTTGCAAAGACCGAGACATTAGCTTTCTGATCCTTTAAGTCAGACAGAAACTGCGTGAATATCCCACCTTCCTGTACATGTGCCTCGTCTAGGCCGTCAAAGACAAGAAAGAGGCGGCTGCCAACTTTGTTGTCACTTGGAAACATTGAGAGAAAGAACCGTTGCCAAGTGGTCTCTGCTGGCGTGGTGGACTTGTCCTTGATCTTGGCTGCAACCTGTTCGGCGTATCTGTTGTTAGACCCGGCGATTTGAAGTGCAGCAGAAGCAAACGCATTCTGCATTGACTGTTGATAAGGATGTTCTTCTTTGAAATAAAAGTAGGCGAAGCAGTCGTGTTCATTTTGCGTGCGTCGTAGCTCTTGATCAGCCGAATAGGCTAAGAATGACTTGCCCATTCCCTCGGCACCTCGTAGCCACAATAGAGGGTTTTCTCTATCCACCCATTTCTTGAAGGATGTATGTTCGTGCAACCATTCAGCGGTTTTCTTGACCTTGGCATCGCTCATGTCTTCTTCTTGCAACAAGTTTCGCTGGTGGGCATCCTGCCACGAAGGAAACGCACTGTAATTCTCGGCAAAGAACTTCTTGAGCTCGCGCAAAGCTTGGAACTTGCGATCACCAATGTCGCCTTTGGGTTTCCGAGCTTGTTTCTTTTTGTCATCATTTTCTGATTCTTTGCTCAACTTGGCTGTATGTTTCAAAATCTGGCGAAGTAGAGCGCTCTCTTCAGCATGGTTTTCGGATAGCTGATATTGGACAGCGCAGAATCCCTCGCTGACGACAACCTGGAGATTTAGGGTGCTCGCGTAGACTTGCTGGATGTCCTTTCCCAAGTTTTCGCGGTATGATTGCAGCTTCTTATCGAGTTCGTCCAGTTTAGCACTGTTGACAAGCACGTCGTCCTGTACGGTCTTGATAGAGCTGTAGCTTTCGAACCCCACAGCTTCGTCGAGTTCCTGGATCGATGCCTGCATTGCAGCATACGCCGATACAAGCTCTTCATCTACTTCGTTCCACAATGCATTGAGCCAATGCTCTACCAGCGATTAGCGGAGCCCTAAGATAAATCGGGCCAACCTACTGATCTTCTTCTCGTCCACTAGACGTCTTACCCTGCCGCATACCGATAGCTGCATAGAGAAGATTCTGACGATTGCGATCGCAAGTGGACCAGATTGTGCTCGTCCTTCCAGAATCGATAATCGCTCGAAGAAACGAGCTGAATATGCAAAGAATTCTTCAACGCGGTCGTATTCAGCTCTGACCCCTGCGAAAGCCTGACCTTGTTGAGCGCTTCCTATCTGGGAGACAAATACTACTCACGGATATGAAGCGACTAGCAGCCGTGAACACCAGTCCCACTGGCATCGCCGGTGGAAACGCACTGACTGCAGCTCCGACTGCAGCAAACCCATCGATGCATTTCTGGAAGTCGCCGAGATGGTCACCCATAGCCGATCGGAAGCTCGACATCTTGCTACCGTCGTCTCGAAACCCTTTGAACTTCTTCATATCTGTATCGGTTTGTCGCATGACCTCGGTGATACTTCGTGCGCCCAAGGCCGAAAGGTCCTCTTTAGTGCGTGCATTGTAGTCTCGTATCGCCTCTGTCCATAAACGACCAAGATCAGTCTGTGCGCTTCGTTGTGAGACTTTAGTCGCCATGCTGTGTCAAGGGAGCTGGGAGATGAAGAGCTGGCGGAAGTATGGATTACCCTCTATATTTATGCGACGATGTGTAGTAAGTATTGGAAGGCTAAGGACACTCCGTTTCATCAACTGCAAGCGCCACCAGTGCGAGGTCCGATACACATGTGTCTGCCTGACGATCTGTGTGCTGGTGGTCGGGGGCCGGAAACGGGTATCGTCTATGGCCAGACGACGCGAACGCCTACAATGGCTGTATGGCGCGATTGGTATGCGGAGTATACAGGAGAACGCCACTGTATGTATTGAGGATAGCAGGCTGCTGTATTAGCAAGTTGCGCAAGCGAAGCAAGCTGAAAGCCACTTCACAAGGCCATGTGCCTGCGAACACGATCTATTGATGCGAGAGCTGCATGAACCAGCATAATGACAGGACGATCATAAGAGTTCCTTGTTCATCGGTAGATAATTAGACTAATCAACTGCGTCGCAGTGCGGCTGCTGTGCGCTGAAAGCATTTGAAAAATCGCTCGTTGCATAGCGTTGCTTCACGACGGGAGCGGGGAATTACCTCGCCCATGCTTTTCAGCCGAGCCACGCAACGATGGCGCGCACCCTGCAGCCACGTCTGATAACATCAACCATTTCTAGCGAAAGTGCAGGCGAAGAACCGTGGGGCCTGTCTGGTCGTAAGAGCACTCCGTATGGTCGGGTTGGATTGAGCACTGGAGAACTGGCGAAATGGTGTAGCGCAGATGCGTCGCGGTACGTACGTTTTATGCCGCAGCCTGCCGCTAACCTAAAGCGGCGAGGTGGGGCAATGAGCCGATGCCTTGCAAGTAAACCTGCCGTCTCATGAACGATCGAAGACACGATGGGCCAGACGGGCATAGGGGTCATCAGAACAACAGACACTGCTTGTGCTTGTTCCAGAATGAGATCGGCCCCTAGGCCGGCGATGTAACCTTCGATAAGCGATTCGAGAGACACATGCTGAGTTCTGCGACCAACAATACTGCTCGGCTATTTAGCCGTACGTAAGTTTCCTATGTGATACCTGCATCCACTAGCCCTCATAACCACCGAGGAGCACGATGTTTAACAGAGAAAGGATGTACGATCTTGCATCAGCAGCCTGTAGTTCGTGTGATTCAAGATCCAATCTTTATGACATTACATGATCGGTTCGGGTAGCATCGTCTCCCACTATGTACTGTATCATCAGAGATAATACGATGTGACAAGTCTTTCGGTCCCTGCGATAGACGGGTCATGTAAAGTCGCCTCTTTTGAGGTTGTTCTCATCCCCGCATGGCCTAACTTGCTTTCGGCCTCCTGCAGGATAGAGCAGCTGAAAACGCCAGCCTTTCGCATCTTCATGTCAGCCAAACTCAGCCGCAGCTGAGCAGATCTGCAATAGCACTATTTAGCAAGTTGTGCTGTATGTGATTATGTACCTACGCAAGAGTGTCACGCACTTGGTACCCAACTCACGATACAACGTCATTCACTTCCCGCTGTTGTCTCGTTGCTGATCAACAGACCAAATCGATCAAGGCACGAAGTCCCGAGACTTCCAAAGATCCTGATGGCCATGGCAGGTCTCGATATCGCGGGTGTGGTCGGCACTTGGGTCGCTGCCGGCCTTGCCGTCATCGCCTTGTTCGGTATCGTCGGGCCCATCCTGATTTTGCGTGCGTCTAGAACAGAACGACATAAAGCGATAGTCGGCATCGGATCAAGAAATCATGGCTATGTCTCCAAGGGGATCCCAGTCTGGCCTGGCGTGCGCCTAGCGCAAAGAGTTCGCGCGCCACGGATCGACATGGCCCGGAAGTTCAAGGACAAGGAGTGGATCGAATTTGATTCAAGACGGATGAAACTCGACGATAGCAAGGTCTCAGAGTCGCCTGCATCTTGGGTGTCTTTTGGAGCATTTCTAGAAGGTTACGCCGTTGAATTTGAGGCGAACAGCGACATTGCGGTCAGCAGCAGTTCGGCCTTTCTACCCGTTAGCAAAGCGTTCCTGATGACTTTTGCCCTCGTAGGGCGTTTCTCTGACGAGCCAGATAGAAGGCGCAAGATCAAAGGAGATGGGGCTAGGACGTGGGATAGACGCAATGCCAGGAAATACCCACAGTATGACTTCGAGGTTGGGGTACGACACGGTCATCGACTATTTACAGAGATTCATGGTCTGACTGGAACTTTGAGTTTCAAGATGCCCGATGAGGATAGTCATGAGCCTGTTGCTGGAGACATTGTCAAATCGTCATGGTCGGTTGTCTTTGACGGGGAGTCCATATTGGAGCCGCTTCAGATTCCTTCGAACCCAATCAGTCTAGAGGACATGACTATGCTATGTTTGGGCTTCTTACCCTTTTGTGGAGACAATTATATCAATTTTCTTGACCCTTTGGAAGATGACTATAGCAAGGGCGAGGATCGTGATATAGACGACACCAATCAGGTTGGAAAAGGATACACGAGATACACGAGATTAATTTCAAACACAAGGGTGAGGGACGTTGATGGAAACTATGATGACCTTCACGGCTATGTTCGGCCCATGTATAGGGAAAGAACGCCAAGACGCTTCAAGTCCATCATCGATCCGAACGACCCACCTATCACAGTTATCGCATATCAGCTTTGGGACATCATCCTGGTTGAAGCCAAAATCTTAGCACATTTGCCCCGGCAAGAAAATGCTAAATACTTCGCACTTCTTGAAATGGGACTCGATGGGAAGACTCAATCCGAGCTACGAAAGTTATCTGACCATACCTTTGTGCCAGCCGCCGCACCCTGGGTTCGACTGGATGTACCATCTTATGCACAAAGCGACTCCAGTACCGAATACTACATCAGACGTGTAGACGCTCAGCGAATCGCTCTGAGTTTGCTCAATATACCTTGGCACCCCGAGGGATATCTTTTACCTGGCGTCGCGAAGAAACACAGTCGAGCCAAAGTTATGCAACGGTTAGGTTCAATCTCTGGAAGAACACGTCCATTTCTCATTCGCCTCCGGCAAGGAATCTCAGCATTGAATCTTAGTTCCAAAGATGAGCAGAGCTTCCTAAAGTCCTCCGAACTGGTTGTCAAAAGAGCTGCCTCGTCGCCTACGAGAAGGTCCTTGCTGGAGCCACTCTTCCTTTTTGACGAAATTGTCAAAGACTTGCAGCATGAACGCGTCGAGGTCCAACAAATGGTCGGTATCCTGATGTTGACCAACGAGGAGTTTGCGGATCTGGTGTACCAATCTGCCCGACACATGACAGTCTCGTCCAAGGTGCCGATCGAGTTTGACTTCCGTGCTGGAACTTTGACGATCCCAAGCACGTTCGGCACCGTACAGACCTTTGAGTTAGATGTGGAGAATCTACAGAGGCAGCAGCAACTCCAGCTGGGAGCTCAGGGCAAAATTTCTGTTGAGCATTCGGACATCCTCAAAGCCGCTTTGCGGGCCTATCTGAGAAGTCTGATGCTTGCAAGTTGTTATGATGCAGAACCATTGACCGATTGCTTCGATAGTATCACGGGGGATATTTTATACATGGCATGACAAGCACACGAGATGGGTGGTATACAATTCCTCTATTGTCAAGGACATTTACTCTTGCACTTAGCCACCCAACAAACTGTTATGAACCTAGGCCTCCTATACATATCCACGAACTCAACCTAAACTCCTATCCACATCTCTGTTTTAGTTGACCTTGGCCTGAGCAAGGCTGTTGATCTGCTGAGCACCGTCCTGAATCTTGCCGTTGGCTGCCTGGAAGCGACACAGAACACCGGAGCGCTCCTTGACGTTGTTGTCGCACACCAGCTGGTTGTTTGCAACGCAGTTGAGAGCACCGTTGCCTAGAAATAGTGTGTCAGTATTGTCCTAAGAGATATGTAGGTATTCTACTCACATGCAGCTGGGCCTCCAGGCACACACTTGCCAGCGGCACCGTTGACAGTGCAGGCATCCTGCTTCAGAGATTGGTTGGGGATACAGCAAGCCCCGTTGGCTGCCTGGCGGGTGTCAAGCACGCTGCGAGGAGTGTTGCGTACGCCTTCGACATCGGTGATAGCGGCAGAGGAGATGGCGACAAGGCCAAAGAGAACGGCGGTGATTGAGAATTGCATATTGGCGATTTGAGTTGCGAAGTATATCGGTTCGGGGTATTAACAATTGATTATCGAAAAGTGTTGATGGTTGAAAGTGATCCGCGCAGCGGTAGTGAATGAAGTAAATGTAGAGTGAATTGGAAGACTGGCTTGGAAAAAAAACCTTGGGCAGGCGTATGCGCTACCTTTATACTGCGACTTCTGAACAGCATTGATGCTATATCGCTTTCCATTAAAGGAATGCTGGGTAAGCGATCCTGAGGCAGTCGATCATGCACATCTAAAACCCTTGCCCGGGCCCTGGCGGGTCCAGCAAATCGCGGTCAAAACAATGATTATTGCGCGCAAGCAGTATGGCAGTAGACGAAGCATACTGTTCTTCCTAGATGAGCAACATCCAATATGCCATGATTGAGCTTCGGGGATGAACTTGCACCTTGGTGATAGGCAAACGCGCGTTGTAGTCGATCTCGGACCATTGGTAGACAGCTGCAAGTGCCGTCAAACCCGAGTTGACAAGCAAACTGAAACACTTCCTGCCTTCTCAAACATGTGCCTTAGAAAGATATGAGACGTAGAACAACCCGCGGTTAAACGGCTAATTTAGGCTATGGTCTGTGACATGCATGATCAGGCGCTTCCAGGCGCACTTCGCATGACAGTCGTTCACTACTTACCTTCTAATAACAATCCACAACAAGTCGAGCGTCAGGATCGACGAAACCTTTCGTCTCCGTGCACCCGTTATCTTCGCCATGGCTTCGTCGAACACGACCTTCCTCGTTGCAAGACAAAGCTTGAAAATGCTGGCTGAACCACACCGCTCAGGCTTGGAGTGCCGCCGAGCGCCGGAAGATATCGCGAGAGGATTCGGAAGAGTTTAGACATTAGAGGGCTGCGGGACGGGTACCTGCGCATAGCGTTAGGGCTGAGAATGTCACGCGCGCATGCGACATTGGCGCTGAACACGATAAGAATCGCACACACCGCTCGCGCAGCGTCGCCGACTACGTAAACATTCTGCTCAAGTTCCCCAGAGTAGAAGGCATGTCCCCAAGCTGCGCCACAGGTCCGAGCGCTCGTCAGTCCAGTTCTCTTGGCCTCCGGAAGTTGCAGCAACATCCTGGATACCTCTGGACGCCTTTAGTGAGATGGAAAATCTTGGATTGGGCGTTGGGGCTGAGCGCTGTATAAGATGATAACAGCTCGTCGTGATGATGCACAGGCACTTCAGCTTGCCTTCTTGAGCTTCAGTCGACTCGCATCGCTAGAACCAAAATATCCCCGTCTTTGCGATCAAGTTGTTGTCCAAGGCCAACGATCCTGCAAGACCTATCATGGCACCGTCCTGGATGGAAAAGTTCATCGTGCGTGGCGAGCCACCAATCCCAGACCCCCTGCGTACCTCGTCGCAACCAACTCTTTCCCTCAACTACTCCGCGCTCGCAGAACACCGTCGCATCTTGAGCGCTCCAGGTGAGCACATGCCGCGCTACGTAGTAACTCGGAAGTCCATCATGGGGCCATGGGGAAGCAAATGCTCCGTCACAGTCCCCACCAACTCCGACCAGGAAATCGCCCTCATCGACTTTCACACCTTTCACTACGACATCAAGTTCCCTCTACGCGACCACTACATCGACATCAGTACGGCGAAGCGTAGATTTGATGCGAGCGGTGGGCTAGGGGAGCTACACTGGAAGGCAACGGGGATGCAGGTAGCGGGCGCAGCGTCGTGGGAGTTGCGGGATGAAACGAGTCTTGTCATGGTTGTGGACATTGATCAAACGCAGACAAACGGTAGGATTAGTGTTTGGAGAGAGACGCTGGATGAGCAGACTACGGAGGAGCTTGTCGTGGTTGGGCTTGCACAGATTGAGGAGTATAAGAGGATGCTTAGGCAGGCGAAGACGTCTGCGGTGGGTGTAAAACTCAACTGAGATGCTCTCTGCACATGTAGCAGGAATTTGATGTGAGTTTGGAGGGGAATCGCCAAGCAACACTATAGTCACAACTCAAGCGTAAGAATATTAGACCACAGGCTTGCGCGACTTGGAGATTGTGATTTGAAGATGATGAAGACACGAACGGAAGTCCGCGATGCTCATCCCTGCCGCATGCTTGCACCATTTTGTGGAGGTTTCGCGGCCCGATTTCTTGCGAAAACGCTATGCGCTAGCTGCGCCTTGCTATCACAGTCGGTTAGCTCCATCAAAAGCTGGGACAGTATCGAGATGGCCAAGGCAGTAAGCCAGTAGACTTTTACGCTCTCCAGGCGTCGTGGAAATGCTTTGGCGGTGTCCGCATGTTGAGATGCGCCCGACTCTTCGGAGCTAAACGAGGATGGCGGCCGAGGCAGGGTCTTTTTGAGCGGCCTTGGGCGGTGGACCCTTCTTTGATTCCTAAACATCCATGAATCATCCTTTCGACTCTCTGATCTCAACCAATGACCATCCCGACAGCGCCAGGAAACATGTTCCAGGCGCAGATGGCGTCATGCATGTCTATCCTTAGTCCATCTGTTCCTGCAATCGCGGCATGGGCCCTACCTGAGCCGAAACGGCTTATGGTGAAGCATAGATTTCACGCTTTCGGAGCGCGAGGCATGCGCAGGGCTAACAAGAAGGCTATCGATCCCTCCTCTGCTTGATGCTTGCTTCTTCTTCGCCTGACTGGCTTCACACCTCAAAGAGACAATCTTGAACCTACCGTCTGCTCTCCTCCCGCATTGCGCGATTCGCTTGCATCATTCCGCAAAGCGACAACCCCCACTAAAAACATTACAACAGCAGCAGCAGCAACAACATCAACGCGACAGAAACCCGCGCGCGCCAACTACATTCTAGAACATACGCAGCCTGGATAGTCGCAGGTATGGCGACAACGCCCATCGAACTTGCGTCAACCACCAGCACGCTTCCCACGCGCCAGAAGGCGATTCCCTACACATTCGCCGACGGAAGGCGGACCCCACTCTCTTCCATCCTCCCACCCCTCGTCTTCGGTACCGCCACGTTCAACCATCAGTACAACAGCGACCCCTTCGCGCTCGACACCACCGGTCTCGTCACCTCGGCGCTTACCCACGGTATCCGCGCCTTCGACACGTCCCCATACTACGGCCCCTCCGAACAACTGCTCGGCGATGCGCTCGCAACCCCATTCGTCCGGGAGACGTTCCCGCGCAACTCATACATGATTCTGACCAAGGTCGGGCGGATAGCAAGCGATGAGTTTGACTACAGCAAGGAATGGGTGCGCGACAGCGTCAACAGGAGTCTGGAGAGACTGAACACAGAGTATCTGGACTTGGTATACTGCCACGATGTCGAGTTTGTGAGCCCGGCCGAGGTACTGGAAGCCATCAAGGAGCTCCGCTGCCTTAGAGATGAGGGCATAATTCGGTACATTGGTATCTCGGGGTACCCTCTCGATGTGCTGGGTGACATGGCTGAGCTCATTCTCCGCGAGACCGGCGAGCCGCTCGATGCGGTCCAGTCGTATGCCAACTTCACGCTCCAGAACCAGACGCTGGCCGGTCCGCGCGGCATCTTGCGCCTCAAAAACGCGGGCGTCGACGTCGTGCCAAACGCCTCCATCCTGGGCATGGGTCTCCTCCGTCGCGAAGGTGTGCCCGTCGGCGCCCTAGGCGACTTCCACCCTGCGCCTTCTTCACTGCGCGAAGCAGTGCGGAAAGCGAGCGACTTCTGCGACGACTATGGTGAGCGCATCGAAGTCATCGCCATCCGCTTTGCGCTCGAGACATGGATATCATCTGGCGCGCTGTGCGGATCCCGTGGAGACCCCGCATCGGGTGTGGCCTGGAAACATGAGTCTATAGACGACGTCGGAGGCTCCAAGCTGGGCGTCAGCGTCATTGGTGTGTCGCGCGCCCCGGAGCTGGAGAAGACCATGCTTGTCTGGCGATCCATCTTGGATGGACTGGAGGGCGGCAAGGAGACTGCTGTGCAAGCTGGTCGCTGGTATCGCGCGTGGGAATGGAGCATGAATCGTAAGAGGGCAGTACAGATCCTTGCGGAGGGTGTACAGGAAGTACTTGGTGACGGCTTTGGCTACGCGTGGTCAAGTCCTGATCCAGGCTTCGTCAATAAGAGGAAGAAGGACGCAATAAAGGGAATTCAGGGTGATGCGCCAGCACCGTGGCTGACGCCCGCCGCCAGCCCGGAGGCTGTGGCTGTGAGAGATTCAAGTGAGGTCATGGAAGAGAAGTCGTTGCCGCTACGGTAAAGGAGAAGATGTAGCACGTGTATATAGTGAACAAAGCTGCACGCCTTCTAACCTCTATTCCTGTCCTTGTATCCTTTTAAGGAGGTATGTCCACCTCATACTTTCCACTCTGGTACATGGCGTTCGGCATGGTCTGGCAGAGATTCTGGAGACGAAGCAGTGACGCGTCCAGTCTCCTCGTCGACAGCCAGATCATCCAGCTCTACATAGTTCCCTTGTGATCCACGTCCAAACACTTCCTTTACAGAATCTCCACATTCTCCATTGACCGTTATGTCTGGCGTCTTCTTGCTCGATTGTCTTGTGCTCATTCGGTTCCCCGAGCTCGCAGCTTTGGAAGGGTACGATCGTGATTTGCTTCGTGATTTGCTTCTGCTCGAGCCTGTGTAGCCTTCGAGCGCGGAGTTGACCGCATGCTTGAGGACGACGCGAAGTACAGGAATTGAGGTAGCGACGATGGCCATGGAGCACTCTGCCACTGCCCATATAATAGCATTGTATGATTCATCTGTAGCTGTTAGCAATGAACCGTACATGGCTTGAAATGTCTTACATGATACATCCTGTGTTGTCAATTTTGCGATGTATGTGGATCTGACAATCGATGTGACTCCGGCTCTTCGATGAAGTCAGCTCAGTCTGCTACTCGATCAAGCAATGCATGAACTCACAGTATTCCCAGACTCATGGCGACACATGCACCGATCTTCTCTGCGGTACGCATCTGCAGCTTCCAAAGGATCTTCCACGGCAACACAGCAAGAGAAAAATCCATAAGTGCTGACCACACTGCGTCGCGTCGCAAGTCAGCAAAGGAATAAAGGTATCAACTTGGAAGCAGGGTACTCACTAGCTTGGAAACGTCCATATATAACAGAGGGTTGCTTGTCGATGCACTCTCCCGGTATGAAGTTCACAAAAGTTTTGGCTAGCGGTTTGCATTGCACCCATGGTATAATGGTAGCAGGGATTGCAAAGATCGCTAGGGTAGAGATGGCAAAGTAGACGTAGAGTCTGACCCATCCGTCCGTCAGCCGAAGCAAAGTGAGTCCAAAAGAGATCTTGCTCAGGGCAATCGCGATGGTGTATATCGTCAGTTCCGCTGCGCCGATATACATCATCTTGTCAAGATTGCGCAAGTCGACTAGCGTAAAGATTAGCGATCTGAGGTGTGAAATCCAAGACTCTGCTTTGGCGTCTTACGGTCAAGTGTATGTCCTCCATAGCCTACGTTGATAGACACTTGGTTGATGGAAACTTGGACCAGAAGTAAGATCTTTATCGTATAAGCGAACTGCTATCTGCATCGAGATGTTTTGGCACTTACCCAAGCGACCACAAGTGTGCAGTCGTCTAGCCACAGCTTCCCTTGACGCCATCGAATATAGAGCCGAGGGAATAGAAAGGCAGCCGCGACAGAGAGCAGCGACCAGGTGACCACGGACATGAGAGGTCCATGGGTCTCTTTTGGGTTGCTAACCCAGTTTTCGATGCCACTCATTTGGATTGGTTTCAAGGGTTGGCGAGAAGGAGAAGGAATTGAAGGGTATGCTCCTTAGCGCTATATCAAAATCCAAGAGCGGTCATGGCGGTACGATGCTGACGTGGGACAAGGATCAAGTTTATATCCAACGGCGTTGAGGCGAGGGTGAAGGATAGGGTTGCGGATGGAAGTTATCCGCATCGATAGTGGCCGGTATTCACCCTTTTCCTTGAGTGGTGGCACTGGTGGGTACTCACTCGGCTGAGAAGCCGTGTCCCATAATGCAAACTAGAACGGTGCGGCAGCAGTTCTGAAGAGTAAGCTTTGCCAGATGGTTGTGGGGACGCTTAGAACTGTACGTAGGTATCGGGCAAGTTGCAACACTGGCCGGGCTGTTGGGCGACGTTAATCAAGGCATCGTTCGCCGCCAATCATGCAATGCGGGCTTCTCTGCGCGACGTTTTAATGAAGTCCGCGGCGGGTAAGGCAGCCTGCATACTCAAGAAATTGTGATCAGTTCGGGCTGGAAAAGAGCAGTAGTAGCAGTCCATCTGTCAGTCCACATGTGGCAGTATGTGCGACTGTTGCTGCACGTTGGAAGCATAAACAACGGCCTAGTCAGCAGATCAGCGCTGGACAGATCATGCCCGCTAGACCAGAAGCGCTAATTTCGGAAACGTCTTGGCCCGATCGATAATTGCCGGCGGGTATACAGAGAGCTCTCGCAGGAACGCGGAGATGGAATATAAGCTCATCGTGTTCGCCCTTATAACAGTATAACAACGTACAAATTTCTGAGATCAAAAAATGCAGTAGTACTCGCAGCCTGGTGTTGTATCTGTCAAGTTGTTCTTATTTCTTTTGTTGCGACGTTGGAGCGCGTGGGTTAGGGGTTCAGAGTTGGGGCAAGCCGGGTTGGTGTTCTAAACCTTAATTCAAGCTTCTGCGTTGCTGCCAGAGCAGAGAGAGAGAGAGAGATGCTAGGCACCGTGACGAGCCACAAGGGCCCGCAACAAAAGCCTCGACGGTCGAACCATGACGCTGGGGCGCGTTATTCTCCCTGACCCGAGTCACTAGATCCAGCAGATCTCCCTGACCCGAGTCGCTAGATCCAGCAGATTCAGGAACGGACTGAACCCTGTGGCTGGCGCGAGCGGATGGTGGTTGTTTTAAGGCCCCTGCATGGAAGGCACCGCGCGAAGATCTGCAAACCCTTGTGGCTTTGGCCCAATCGCAACGCGCGCCGAGAAAGCACATACGTCGATCTCTCTGACCCAGGCCTTCCACTCTACAATTCGGAGCAAGTATACCGGGTTGTAAGGACTGTGCTAGAGACTACTTGACCCCGGATTGGCATCTCTGTCGGCGACATTTGGATGAGGATCATAGCGGCTCACGTGTGCGCAGCACTCATTTGCCACTATGAAAGTTGAACAATTTCTACCCTCATCCGACCGGACATTTCTCGCTTCAACTTCTCATCCTTTCTCCACATTCCTTCACACCTGAGATTGTTTTCGCAAACATGAAGTTCTCGGTACTATGCGGCACAACCCTCTTCTCATTGGCGACCTTCGCCTTTCCTGCGAGCATGCTCAAAGGGGACATTAGTGACGCGACCCTTGCGGAAATCACCGCTCTGACGGAGAGGATCGCAAGAGATCTAGAGAGCAAGCGATCGGGTGCCCACGTCAAACGTGCATTCGATGCAGAGGCTCAGCGCATCAGTACTACTGGTGATCACAAATACGTGAGTAGCGCTATTGGGATGCGCGACATGGAATCGCATTTGCTGATGGCATCGTAACCAGATTGCGCCAGGCCCCAATGATCTCCGTGGACCTTGCCCTGGTATCAATGTTTTGGCAAACCACGGTTACATTCCCCGGAATGGCATCTCTACAATCACACAAATGACTACGGCCGCCAATGAGGGTTTGTGTGCCTTTACTCTCTTATTTGCAGAGTGCTAACTATGTCAGTGTTTGGTATGGGCCTGGATCTATCAGGATTTCTAGCAGTCTACTCCGCCGTCATGGCAGGTGATCTCACCTCTTTTTCGATTGGAGGTAAACCTAAGTCAGGTGGGCTCCTAGGCGGTGTAACCTCATCACTCGGCCTTCTCGGAGAACCACAAGGCCTGAGTGCGTCACACAACCGCTTCGAGGTTGATGGGTCACCCACCCGATCGGACTTGTACTCAACGTATGCTACCCAGCTTTCTCTCCCTTGTTGCATGGCCAGCTTAACTCATTCCTCGTAGTGGCGACCCCGTATCCCTCAACTTGAGCTATTTCGAGCAGCTCCTCTCTATGCCTCTTGGCAAGAACGGCATTGACCCCTCCGTTATAACCCAGTTCCGCCTTGATCGCACAAGGCACTCAATCGCTACGAATGGTCATTACTTCTCAGGCCCGCTACAGGCCCTTGCGTTGAACCCCGCCACGTATCAATTCACCTACCGTTTCTTCGCCAACCACACTGCTGAGAACCCTGAGGGCTATCTCGATGCCAAGACGCTCATGTCATTCCAGGGTGTTACCGGAGAGAAGGGTAATTACAAGTGGGCTCGTGGGCAAGAGAAGATTCCTGAGAACGTGAGTACCCATCGTGACACCGTCCGCTTGCATACGCTAATGCCCATAGTGGTACCGCCGCGTTATCGGTGACGATTACAGCATCGCAGCGTTCGCTGCGGAAGCCGTTTCAATTGAACTCCAACACCCCGAATTTTACCGGTTTGGTGGAAACACCGGCCAGCCCAACACATTCACTGGAGTTGATGTCGACGACTTGACAGGCAAGTGATATCTTTGTACGGAGTTCATGTGAGACAAATACTGACTTTGCACACCGATCTTCAGGCAACGTTTTCAATGCGCAGACACTCCTTGAGGGAAACAACCTAATGTGCCTTGCATTCCAGGCAGCTAGCGTAGGTGCTCCTGACGTTCTCCGCGGATTACTTGGCAACGTCTTGGTCGCTGTGCAAAAGTTGGCCTCTGTTCTAGACCCGATCATTGCAGAGCTTGGGTGCCCTGAGCTTGTCAAGTACGACCGAACCCTGTTCAACGCCTTCCCTGGTGCCGCGGGTGCGATATAGAGCGCGATTCTACACTTCGCGAACATATAGACTAAACTTTCTGGCTTCAAACCCTCGTTGTATTAATACTACAAAGCTTTCATCTGCCCTGGTAGTCCTTGTGCCGTGCATGCTGCATACCAGCGAAGTGTCTGTCACTACCTTACATCACTCAACTCACCCACGGGTCCCCCATGTGCACCGGATATTGTCTCTCTAGTTCCTCCAACACCTCCCTCTCCTTCATTCTAGCCTCCTCGCTTGCGAAAACTGTAGCTTCGATATCGCGCACTTCAACCTGCTCTCCGTCATATAGACCATAATAACCTACATCGTTCTCGATTGAACTACAATCGATCGTACCCAGCACATGGGAGCTTGTATGCAGATGTTGCCACGTATTATTCTTCTTGACGGTGAAGAATTTCCAGGGCTCGACAAACCCTTCTTCGTCTCCCCTGTGGTCGTAGCCTTCGTAGGTTACACCCGCAGCCTCAGCTTTCTTCCTCATATCCTCCGCATAGAAAGGGTTGGGACTCCCATCTGCCTCCCTTGCAAGCGCCCTATCCCATGGCGCCCCAATCTCGCAATACGCATCCGAGTAGTCTGCCACAACGCAAGCACGCGCAGCTTGTACACGCATATCCGGCCGCCTCCTCGCGAGTTCGACGTACGTCTCCGGCACCGCGAACTGCGGATACCATATCAAGTACGGCAGCTCATATCCTTTCGTATCTACAGTAATGCGCTCGAGATTGTTGCTCATGACGAATCGTGCATGAAGCGCTTTCTTCACCCGCAGCGTGTCGAAGCGCGAGTCACCAGCGTCGAGCTGCTGCGCCACCCACTTTGCGAAAAGAGGGTGGTGGTAGATGCCGCGGACAAGGCAGGGGCCTTCTTGCTGTATAAGGACTGGTCGACGCAGGCGCGCGTACCGATCGATGTTGCCTTGTACAGCGGCCATGAGGATTAGGAGGTCTTTTTGCACTGTGGGTAGATCGGCAGGGAGCGGATTGTACAGCAGGGGGACCACAACGGACTGATTGGTCTTTGAGGCGCTGACGCTGTAAGTGTCGATGGACATGTCTTCTGTGATATCGAGATAGCGCTCTCTGAAGCCATCACGTCGGTACCAAGATGACGTGTTGGATTTAACGGACCAGGGCGTGGTGTATCGCTGCTTGACCTCAAGCATGGAGCGTACACACGTGTCTCCATTGATAAGAGAAGGGCGTGGAGAGCATGGTGTGTAGGTTCGCGTGTAGTCGTTGAAGACAGTGTACTTTACCGGCTGGGAAGTGATTGCGTTATAGATGTCCGGATTATTGTTATCGCGTGCTTCTTCAGCGATATGAGCTTCTGGGAGAAGGGCAAGTGAGTGGTAGAGGTCAGTATAGCCAGCTACCGCGCAGACACGGCCAATCTGGTAAATCATTTGCGGGTATCGTTGTAAGAGCGCTCGGCAAGTGTCTTGGCTGGGCGCGCTTGGATGCCAGATGCAGTAAGGAAACTCGTCATGGTCAAGCATGTCCGGTATGCGATTGTTCATGATGGCTTGAGCATTCAGAGCGCGGGTAAAGCGCGAGTCCGTGCCGTGAAGCTCTCTTGCAAAGCCGTCGTTGTATCTGATGCCTCGGATTATCGCTCGCTGAGCAAGCTCCAGATCCATGTTTGGGGGAATTTTGACTCCTAATAGCGCATCTTTAATCCATGACATGTCGAATCGCCGCAGCCTTCTCTGATGTTCTTCTTTTTCACGCTTGAATCTCAACTGGGCGTCCTTTTCCATATCAATCTTGCGTCGAAGTTCTAACAGGCGCTGTCTCTTCTCAGGAGAGAATCGAGCTGAGCTCGCCGAGGAGCTTGCCGCAGTGCAAAATCCACATTCGTCTATAGTGGCCAGGCATCTTCGTGTCGATGCCAGAGCCCTACTTGAGACCCGTGTAAGCCACCACATCAAGGACCAAGGTAGGAACTAGACACATGTACGAGGACGAATACAGCTTGGAATTCTATAATCGTAATCACAGTCTGGAGAGTCGGGTGTTGCGAGGGGATAAGAAGACTTCGCAGTTGCTGTTCTCGTACCGTACGGGAGGCCTAAGTGGGTACCCAGGCCTTACAGTAGCGTGTCAGTCAACGCCCCAGGTCAGTCAACGCCCCACCCACAACACAACAGCTTCATGAGTATTGCAGCTATAACGCCTCAACAAAACGTGATAAAATTGCGCAAAAGTAGATTTATAC